CTAGCTTTGATACCATATTAGAGAGAAGATGAAAGACAAAGTATAGCATAATGAGTGTTATGTTTTCCATTGACTGTGATCTGAGTTTATATACAAGGATTATGAGAGATAGCAACAACTCTACAACATAACCAGAAATGCTCACGTGTGAAATACTCACGTGTTAATAATGGACGTGCTAATCATGCACTTAACCTAACTAACTCACTAACAAACTGGCTAACTGATCATTTACTCTAACAGATCCAAATGCCGTGCAAATTTCAAAAGAACAAATGAACTACAAACGTAACATTAAAACTAGGCATCGGCAAGATAGAACTAGAAATCAACGTTTTCTCAAAAGACTTGAGCTTTTTATTTTTGCAAATAAATTAGATTAGGCATTGACAAGAAAGAACTAGAAATCAAACTTGCTTAATAGACATTGTTATTATTTTTTTATAGTGTTTTTAATTTTCGGTACAGTTTGGTTCATTACAAGAAAATGATGAAATTTCAATGGAAATGTACTCCAATAGAATTATTTCAACGATAATTCTAATGGATATTTCAATATTAGTATTTCCGTTGAAATTTTTTAATTGATTCCAACGGAAATTTCAACAAAAATATTTCGTTGGAATGAGTTTTCCATTAGAATTTACGTTCGATTCTGGCAATTCCATCATTCAATTTTTCAACGTGGGTGAAAATAAAAATTCCAATAGAAACGTTGGAATTATCAAATTTCATCTAAATTTGCAATGAAAAACAAATTCCAATAGAATATTTCTGTTGGAATTTCGGTTGCAACCATTCTAACAGAAGTTATACCATTGAAATATCTGTTGGAATTTCTATTAAAATATATTAGCATAGGATTTTTCATTGAAATATAACATTTTTTTTTGTAACGGTTGAACTGAATCATTGAAAAGCAAAATCGATGTGAAACCGAAATTGAGTCAGTTAATGATAACACGGTTTGGTTTGTTTCATTTTATTTTTTTTTGATACAGGGACCTTTCGGTTTCCGGATCCACAGGAGAACCGACTAATCCAGAATCGAGCCGGGTAGTCATTTTTTTTTTAAATCTGTTCAATTTGAATTGGTCGGTTTTTTTGGGAATAAAAAAAAAAAAATCTGCAAACCCTAAATTTAATGAGATTAAGTTAACGTAAGTAATCAATATGGTCGACGAAACTTAAATTATGTCAAAAAATACGATAAACAAATAAAGACACATAACATTCATTAATTCCTTTGACGTAAAATTAATTCCTTAAAGATTATTCTCTAATATCCAAAAGCCCTTCTAATTTCAAAGGAACAAATAAAGTATAAATGTTGAAATTAGAGGCATGATGAATATAAACACTCCTATTTTGACATTTTTTTTTTTTTTTTT